GGTGGTTGCTGCGGTCAATTACATGATGCTTGTATCCCTGAAACCTAGGTAGAAGAGGAGACCTTGCTAGATGGATGTCATTAAGGAGCTGGTCCATCATTTCAGCCTCTTGATGACCTCCCCTCATCTGCACCATTAAAGTTGGATGGAACAAGTGTAAGCATGGTGTGGATAAATCTACATTTGCTTCATAATAAAAAGTAAAATAGCTTGAAGTAGTTGTATGATCTCCTTGTATCCTAAGAAATATCGACAGCATAAATAAATTGTCCATTAAGTTGTGATAAATCCCAATTTTCCATGGGAGACACTGTTAGCAGAAAAGGACATAGTACTGTTTAATAAAGAGCAACCCTACTCATTCCACAACAGAAAATGGTCACGGCAACAGATGAGTGGTTGCTGTTTATTATATTTAGAAGAAAAATCCCTTTCCATCCCCTGCTCCACTGGAAAAGTGACGCAGCAGTATTCCAGGAACAGAATTCAGTCCACCACATTTCATACGATCGCGGATGGCTGATAAGGTCTTGTTCTTAGTTCTTTCTTGTAGACGCTTTCCAACTGTTAACGCAAGACTAAAGCTTGACCATTCTGGGATCTTTTGCTTTATAAATACGTTGCTTGCATCACATGGATATGTTAGTCCACCTAAAAGTAAGGCATTCCCAGTCTAGAAGGGATTCATTATTACATCTTCCTTTTTGCAAGGGTGAGATTCTCGAACTGAGGTCTACTTTTCGTTTTCGTTCGCCATCAAAGCATCATTAGGTTTGGTCCATAGACTACTCATTGAGGTTGTCAATTAAGAGTCCAAACCGGGCAATCGATTCCAGCTCTGCTAACGTGATTTTCAGCGTTTTGTTTGGCATGGTGTCATGATTTTGCTGCCATCAAATCAAAGTTGTAACAAAACGAACAATATATTGGTTGCAATCAGGATTTCAAGGTGACAAAGCACCAAAAAAGTACATAAATGGCTTTAGACTTTAGTTTAGTACAATGCTCACATTGCTGGAATACAGCCAATTGGGAGCAAGCAAGAGATGCCCACATATTGATTAAGCTTCCCTGGCTTTTGCAACAGAATCTCAAGTACTAAATATGTTTTGTTCCATGCGTTAAAAAAATCAAAGGTTCACAAATATACATCTCTGCACACATGAATAATGGCAGGATTTCTCTGTTCAAATATCATTTCTATAAGAACATAAGAAACAATTAATAATACTCTATATATTTTGCTATAAGAAGCAAAATATTGTGGGGCGGTTGGAAACCTGGTCAAAGGATAATTGGACTCGCCCAACTGCCTTTAGCGAGTCAGTAACATATATAGTTTACTGTAATGTAAGATTGTGCCGACCTGTTTTGATGTTTGTTTGAGGGTCGGTTTGTGATTGGTTCTAAAGATTGTGTGACAAAAGGCAAAGGATATTAAAAAGAAAGAGAGAAAGGTCTGAAGCAATCTCGAAGCAAGGAATAAAGCGGAAAATATAAACTAAGAAAAAAAAAATCCAATAATCTGTAATTCATCAAGACTCAAGAGCAAGACTAAATTAAAACCCCCAAAACCTCCACAAACTAAAAAAAAATATAAGAACAACGGCAAAACTATCTTACTATATTAATTTTCTTCAAACTATTGAAATACTAGAATTCAATGCATTGTACACAAATAAATTTAACAAAGCTATATAGTAGTAACAATTTTTCTACTATTCCTAGTTGGAGTATATGGTAGGATTGGCAGACTCCTTGCGGCTTCTATGACTAAAAACAAATTCTTGAAATGATATAAAAAAAAAAACAAAATTCGAGGAAGATTCAAAAAGTTGCACAGGATCATTATTGCATGGGATGGCAACATGCAATGATAGTGGGGTGGCATGGAATTCCCCCAAGCAATTATTAGTTATTAAGAACACTTCACACATAAGGCCAATATCCCTTAAGCAGGGGTAGGGGGGACAAGGAGGGTGTCCAAAAACACGTAATGATGATCCGTCTTCATTCCTATCTAATCAGCATGCAATTGGATATGAATCTCAGGTCAAATGGCCTAATAATACAAATCAGATGACGGTGTCAAGGATTCGGAGAAATGAAATTGTTGCCCGTATAGAGCGGTCAGAGAAATTACGCCATCATTTTCTAGGATTTTTTTTTTTTGGGTATCTTTGTACTATGTATCAATAAACAAGGACGTCCTAATTATACGTAATGAAGTTGGGGTAATGCATGGTGAAAACCAAGCAAAATAGAAAGGCTGAGGGGACAGTTCACATGGAAAGATTCATTCGTGAGGTGGAGACCATGGAGAGGGTATTTGGTAAACCCGACCAAAACATATATTATTCAAAGCTCAATTTCTTTGTTCTTTTATTTGTATAATAATAATAATAATAATGAGGGAGAGAGAGATATGGCAGATAGGGCGTATTGAAGGCTCTACGATGGAATCCTATGCTAGTTTATAAATTAGAGTGAAAGAGACAGAAATGAGTACAAAAATTGCCAACGAAGGTCTTAGGCTAAATGCATTGTACTACAATTATAGTTGACTGCGAGCCAAGCTGGTCGCGAGTAGTTTGGTCAATTGCTCGGCTCGAATTCAGGTTGATTAAGTTTGAGTCCGAACTTGAACTATTCGATTGGAAAGCAAGTCAAATTTCGAGCCCATATATATGCTACTTGAGCTCGACAAGTTACTTGTCGAGTGCTTTTTAATTTAAACAATATATATATTTTTAAATACAAAATTATCACCAAGGGTTTATGCTTTCAGACAATTTACAAGCTGATTTGCATACTTAATAAAACTCTTGAATGGCAAAAAAGTAATAGAATTTGAAGTAAACACAATATAATTTCATTCGCCAAGATTTGAACTTAAAGGCTAAAAAATGAGGTCTGATTGAGTTTCTATACTTGAAAGCATCATCGAGTACTCGAACTTGATATGGCTTGATCTTGAATCAACCCATATCGAGTCGAGTTTGAGTTTTATGCTCTCTATTCTCAAACTCGAGTCAAGTAGGGTACTAATAGTGTTTGAGTTAAGCTGAGTATAGAACTACTCGAGCTTGACTCAACTTATATACACCTATTACTACAAATTTTCGCTTGAAATTTTGTCAAGTAGAGATCAAAATGAAATATTAAAAATACTAAGCACTTATGGCAATTTGCATCATGTGAGACGATTCCAAATATGCCATCATACTAAAAACGGAATTGATTTAAGAAATATGGATCTTTATGGACGGAAAAAAAGAGTAAGTGTATTTAGTGTTATCCGTAGATAAGGCGTTACTCATAGGTCAAAAAAGACACCGACTCAAGTTTATCAGCTTTTTTTTTAGTTTTATTTTTTTTTCTTTTTGGGGGAAAATGTTTCTAGTTAGCCACAAGTGCCACATTCTTGCCCCGAAGAGGAGAAGGAATAGAAAGAAATGGAAGTAAAATATCCAGGGCTCATTATATGGTTGCATTTTAGCTTTTCATACATCCAACAAACATATATTAGCATCTTACAGACACAACTATTCAATTTTGGGATCATCAGCCAACTTTTACATTTACAAGACACCGACGAAGATTCGTGTAAACATGGAGAGGAAGACAAAATTTGGTCGAATTCTTAGGAACAAACAATGAGATATCCTGCCAGATAATTTTTAATGAGATGCTTCTTAAGTTCACTGGGAATAAGAAAATCTAATGGAATTATTTACTGCAGGCAGGCTTTCTTAGAGCGCATGTGGTAGTGGTGGTGTCCATGCAGGTTGCTCTCACCTTTTTGAGCAATTCTTTGTCGGACAAACTCCATATCGCACCTTCGAATTCGTATGATTTTTTCACTTTACATTCTAAACTTCAAATTTAAATACTTTGCTCATTAAATTCTTAATTTTAAACACTTTACATTCTAAACTATTAATTTTGTTCTATTTAAATCTAGTCAACGACAACTTCAGCAAAATTAACGACATGTACGACTTAACAAATTAATGATAATATGCTGAAAGTTGTTAAAGGTAGCAAGGTATCATAGCAAAAATAAAACAGTATATTGGCATTAATTTGTACCATCTTTTATCTCATTGATTTTGCTAGTAATATTCGTAATTGAAACTATATAAATCAATAATAATGTGCTAAAATGGTCAAAAAAGCTAAGAGATCGCACTGAATGATACATTGTTATTGATTTTCACTACACCCCTTTACCTCATACATTTTGCAAGCAACACAATCATTGACTGTATCTAAACACGACAAACTTGAGAGTTTAGGGTGCAAAGTGTTCAAAATTAAAATTTTGGAGTGCAAAGTGAAAAGGTGGTATAAGTTTGGGAGTGTAAAGTGAAGTTAGTCCTTCTTTCTTAACTTAACGTAAGTTATAAGCTTGGATTCACATGCCAATTCCAAAAAAGTTGAAACCATGAATTTCAGATCCAAGATTGATCAGCGTCCTTTCCTTCCTTGCATTGTCAAGTATCTAAGTCCTGCGATGCACAATGTACAATGTGGGCTATTTAATTAATGAGTTGCAGCTTGTCATTTTCTAGTACTCATCATGCAAATTGGTAAATGTATCTCACCCTCTTCACCGTTTACAACCCAAGTTTACCTTAAAAAAAGAAGAAAAAAAAATTGGTACTGCAATGGAGAACATATATATTATCTAGGCAGCATGGAAACAAACTTGTCGCAGTAGTACTTTTAAGCAATTAAATTCCTTCTACTTTCATGAGCCTCTAGTACAGTTACAGGACATGTCATTATAAAAACTGATCAAAATAGTAGTGACGATCCAGATGACAAAAATCTCACAAGTAAATGCCTCTAACATGCATTCACAATCTTGACTGCAGAACCGCAGGAACATCTCCTCTTCATCCTTTTTGTACTTCTTAAAAACTAAAATGAAACGAAGAAAAGAAAAGAATAGAGAGATTTGGAGGAGGTAAAAAACAATTGCCAATGAAGAAAAGATGAAAAAGGTTTGTGAGTAAAGATGGAGAAGACAGGTAGTTACATCTGGAGCCAAGTGACGACAGCCTGAGATGGACATGTTAGAAAAGTTGTTCTACTACTGTAGTCTGTGCTGCCACCAACCTATCTATCTTAATCTAGTTTTTGTGAGAATAAAAAGAATGCCCCTACGACCTTTTCTCTACTCAATTACCTTCCAATGCACGCCTCTCTTCCAAACTCTTCTTTTTCAACCCGTATATATTCCCTGCCCATTCCTACACTTCTATCTCTTACAATTTCCTGTTTACAGGTTTCCACCTCCTTATCAGCTTTCCCTCCAGTTCCTCGACCAACCCTCCACCCACCAGAAAAAACCAAAAGAACGGACAAAAAACCCATGTCTACGGATCTAGAATTACGCCAAGAATTGGTGGAAATCCGATTACCAGCTCTAAACATCAAGGTTTCACAGTCTTCAGATAGTACGGATGATGGCGGTGCTGTAATTCAGTCACAAGAAAGCACCACCGGCACGGGCAGCTGCATCAATGAAGAAGAAGAGTGCCATACGCCAAAATCGCCTCAGCATATGATCCCAGAAATTCTTAGCTGCCCACCTGCCCCAAAGAAGCCTACGAGGCCTGCTTCCTCCTCATGCAAGAGAAAATTATCTGAATTTTTCGAGTTTGTGGGACGGGAAGAGATTGAGTCTTTTTTCAGGCAGCTTGACGGGCCGAATTCTACAACTGGTGTCATCAAAAAGAGGTGTCTTGTATAAAATTTATTCCACATTCAGAAATTTTCTAAGGCCGCCCCATTTTCTTACATTGCCTTGTTAATTGGAATCAATTGACAAAGCCACAGCAAAGCGAATTACGATCAATTGTGTATGTACTACACCTTTTTATATGTTAAAGAAAATTTATTATTTGATTCAAAATTCTTGTTATTACTACAACTATTATTGTCTTCTTTTCATTTCTTTTTGTGTAAGTTGGATGTGAACTGAAGGCTGACATGATTGAGAATTTACTCAAATTAATTTGAGTAATTAACTTGCACTACCTTCTTCCTCTCTCTTTCTTCTTTTTTTGTTTATTGAAATTAATTTGGTTGGGAAGGTTGGTTCACTTGGTTTTAAACATGGATGACGATAGTTAATTAAGGCTGCTAAAGCATAGATTAGTGATGAGTTTTGTGAGGGAGATGAGTGGTTGGTTGGTTGGTTTTGTCCGAAGGAAGGAAGATGTGAATAATAGATGGAATCAATCCACCAAATAATCAATGAATGAAATACAGCTACGACTAATTCAGTTGGTGCAAGTTTTTTCTTGAGAAAGATTTGAATTAGGTTTGATGATGCAGCGTGATCATGTTTGACGTTATCGTTGAGTGACAGACACGGTTTTGGGATTGACATCCTTTGATTATCATTTTTTTGGGCATTCCTCATCTCTGTATTGCCAATCCAGAAAGAGATAGAGAATTTGACAGGTATTTGTCCTTTTTTTTGCTTTTGTCCTTATTAATGCAAACAAAATTCGGCACTGTAATATGTTATATATAGCGTATTCCATGCTTCTGCCTGCTTTGGATTGCCATTTTTAGAGCAAAATTTTTACATTTTTTGTGAATATTTTTTCTCCCTCACACACATCACATCCTTAAAAAAAAAATTTAAGAAATTTTTCCGAAAAACTTTCGAGGACTAAAACTTGTCGTCCCGCACCCCCCTCCCTCTTTTGTCGTTATTCGTTGAGCAATTTGTTTTTTTTTTCAAGTGTAAACGAGTGGACTCGGGGCTTAAAGACGAAATCTCTCACTTCCACTCCCTTTTCCCTTACCATCCAATCCATCCATTTTCTCGTTGAGTAATTTGCTAAAACAACATACAAATACAAATACGTGATCGCTTGCTTTTGTGTCCAAGAAAAACATATACCACTAGTTTTTTTTGGAGGTTTTATAGAAAATATATTGTAATGATTTGATATATAAATAAGATAGAAAGGTGATTGAAAAATGTGTTTATGAAAAATATAAAAAAAAAAAATTTTTTTGAGAGAAACGGCAATGCAAGCTCAACAATGAAACTGGTACAACAAGAATAAAAAAAATGCGAGGATAATAGTGCTAGGATGGGTTGAATAAGTGGGATAACTGGCTTTAATTACGCCACATAGGAAGTGTACGAGTTCACATGCCGGCCTACAACTTTTGTTGCTATTTCAATTATTTTCAATGTAGGGCTGGCAGTCTTCGTTAACAAACTTGGAATTCATTTATAAAAGGACGAAAAAAAAAGGGGGAAAAAGATAGTCTTACATGACCTCGCATTCACTTGACTTCTAAATTTTTGAATTTCAGAAGTGTTTCCACGGAATCAAACCGATTTTCTTATTAGTTAGCAGTTGAATTTGTTAAGCAGATTGATAACCATACACCTGGCCATTTGAATTTGATTCAGACTCCATCTATACAATAAGAGAGAAAAAAAATGCCGAACCAGACGTGACTATTCTTCTAAGTTGTTGTGGTTGCATCAGCATTCAATATTCAGATTATAACGATGGTCCTTACTAACAGGTGCTCATTAGTTACTCATTAACATATTTAAAATTTACTTAACTTATAATTTATATACGCATACTAATAATTATTAATTTTTCTTATATTTATATACTTTTTCTATTTAATCTTATCTACTCTCTTTTATATTTACTTACTTTTTCTAGTCAATCTTAAACTTCTAAAAATATATTTTAACGAGTACTCAATAGGTACCCATTAGATAGACACTTTAGTTATCTTACCTTTTAATTTGACACCTTTTATAAGAGAAATGACCTAGAGTTAAAAAGGACCCGATTAACAATTCGATTGTATTTTTTTTATTATTATCTTTCATCCCTTTCCCATCCTTAAATTGTGAGGACTCAAATCCTAAACATGACAGGAGGAGAGTTCTTCCCTGATCACCGACCAACCCCAGTGATTTAATAATTTGAATGTACTATAAGATTACTGTGTGTTAGAAGGTGAAAACGAAGGAGTAACTGACAAAAATTGCAAGATTATAGCGCAATATACTTCAAAAAATATGTTCATGCAGCGAGCCAATATCCCCTGACAGACAGGACAGTTAATATGATCTCGATCTGGCTAATAACAATAATAATAATTCTGGGCCATATCAATATGTCTCTACTCTCTCCTCTGCTGTTCGATATGCCCCCGTGAGATACTAACGCCAGATCCAGAATATTAAATCACATAAAACAAAACGGAGCAAAGTAAAAACTAGAATTCACTTTCTGTACTCCGTTGAAGGAATATCTTAACCCTCAGTTACCTGTTGCACTTTAAATTTTTCCCCTCTTTCTACATACTCTGTATTTGTATTTAACCAAATTCAAACTGACAAAAGGCTGTATGTGGACAATGTCGTATTAATCACGCCACTTTTGATGGATACGTATATATATGTATATATAATTAAAGCTTTGAGTGAGCTTCAATCTTACGTGTCCTTTCCTGCGGATATTAGCAAGAAGAAAAAGTTGGATTACGTACAATTAAAGACATGATTTAGACAGATTACGTATTTGAGTCAAGACCAGATCAGAAGCACAAAAGTAAAGAAGAAGCCGGCAGGCGCTTTTATGGTAGAGCTTAAACCATAAGTTACTTTTCCGTCTCATAATTTTGACGGAATAATTAAAGAGGCAGCAGCAGCAGCAGCCCACCACCAGCGGCAACTCGCAGACAGAGAGGTATAAAGATGGCGAAATTAATATCCATTAATTGATGAATTAATTATATAGTTCATGGATACAACATTCACGTGGTCAGGAATATTAGAGTTCATTAAAGGGGACACATGCATATGTGTACAAAAAGTGATAACGGCGGCAGAAATTCTTGAAAATCATTATTTATTCCCCTGTATGTGTGCTGTATATTCAGCTTGATTATAAACTTTTTTTAGTGTTACAGTTTGGATCCTCAGAATACCATGCATCACAATTATACGTCTATATATATAGATATGAATATCTTATTTAGCTGAGCAACACAATGTAATTGACATCAAAAGCAGCTATATTTCGAAGAGTAGCGTGTCGGTTGCAGATGAAACGTCTTACCGACTAGATTATGTTTCGTTGTTAGATGGTATTCATTCAGTATAATTTTTTCTTATATGAGACGTAAAGAGGACGCATTGCTAGTTGGAGCCTTTTAGCTCCGGCATCAACAAGATCCTCAAAACCTACCAAACGGTAGGTGTATGTTTGGTAGGTTTAAACAAAAAGTTATAACGATGGTTTTGATCTGATTCCATCTGATTGATCAATCATGTGAAACTAATTTTTCATTTTTATTGCTAGTCGGTGGCCATGTGACCGAGACATGTTTATCGTGCATTTTTCTAATCAAACATTTCAAGAAATTCATGATCTTGTCGAAGAATATTCGCAAATTACTGAAATAGGAGTTTTAGCTAGGATCAAAGAACATCTGTAAAGTTGCTAAAGCAAGTGTAAAGAAACCACATTGATCTAAACTAAAGCAAATGCAAATCAGGTTATATATATGGACAACAAACATAAAAAGAAAACCCCAGGATGTGTATAAAATTTACTGAGTACATATTTACTGCTAATTACCCAACTAGAAAATTATTCAAAAACCTCTTCCAAAGCAACAAAAAGAAATGCAAAACTACGGGACATATTTCAATTATAGAAGTCCAAAAGTTGCCCCTCTATCTTTGCAAGTGTAAAATCCGAACGCAAGCGACACAAATTACGCATTGGATAAAACACAGATTAACCGTCTATCACAGGAAGTATTTCCTCCTTGTGGGCCGAAAGGGAAAAAAACAACTGCAGACATAGAACTGGAAAAAGTGAAAGCTAAGATCTGATAAAAGTGAAGAAAAAGTGGAGTTAAAACCCTGGATTTTGTAGTTAAATACTATCATAACTGATCCCTTTTGCCTACTGAGGTAAGACAAGTGTGTTCCCCATAAAAGTGTCTCCTTGCACTACAAGAATGTTCAATACAAGTACCAATCACCGGTGGAAATGAGAATCTCTCATTTTTGCCAAAATACGAGGTGTGGAAGTTTCTTGCTGTTTAATACTTGGAATTTGGGACTACAGCATTCTACGGGATTTGTGATGCTGGACTTGGGAACCACAAAATTAAGAGTTCTTAATACAGATTATGAATTAAAATTTGCCATTTGAAGGTCGTGCAATTACTTAATGCAGTCATGGGTCTACACTTTTTCTCCACAACTACATTACAAGTTTGTCTATTTGACATCAATAATACGTAGCATGGCTGATTTAATACATGTTGCCGGAGGAAGCTAAGACGAAGCTGCAGTGCGGTAGCCAAACAAGAAGATTATCTTGTTAGGAAATACCACAGGTAAACGGAAATGGTGATTTCCCACAAATTGCCAGCGATCAGAACTTGTTTACCACTTAACTTTGATTAAAATGGTGAATATTCAGGATTAGCCATGAGGTGAGCCTCCTCTCTTCTAAATTTTATCCCCTCTCCCCTCCCCCCCCCCCCCCCCAAACACCCTAAAAAAAAGTGAAGAAATGAGAACAGGCTATATAAAGGTAAGAGCAACTTGTTTACCATTTAAAATTACTGTATGTCGTAGGAAAAAAAAATCATCTATTTGTCATACTTGGAGCCCGTACCAATATTTTAGTAAAGGTGCTAGGACAATAAGTAAATCATGGATTATTTAATGAG